ATTACTCGCCCAGTATTCTTGTGTTGAGACTATTTTTGGCAAGCCCCGGCTATGGATATTTTTGAACCTGTTAAATGACTGGACACAGTCCAAGTACTTTATCTATTTATCACTTATTTTCACTATAAGGTCCATTTCAACACACTTTTTGTAATGAAAAGTGACGTATAATTTACCAATCGCAGAAGATTATGTACACGTTTTGAGCAGAACCAATGATATTAGGTTACCATAAATAGAGCACCGTCCTTTCAGAACTTATCTGTGCATGGGAGATGCTCAACGCTTTCACGTAACCGCTTCTTGCCATATGAAGACGTCGCAAGCGTATGACAAGCGGTATTTTTTGCTAGATGGGGACTGGGGACTAGCGAGAACGCCTTATAATTTGCCCAGGACCAGAAAGCATATCAGTCTTCTATGAATGATTTGCACGAAATTATAGTAGAAACCTGCTCCTGGAAGATCATGTTTATTTGCGATTGTATCTGGCTGCTCTCTTTCTTAACATGCAACATTTTGCAGTCTGATTGAATAGTCGCTAAATTCACCCATATATGCGACAACTTGGTAGTTTATCTTTTGGAATTATGCAAGTTATGAGTATGCTTGCAGGTATACAGCACACGAACAAGAAATGCTATCATCAGTGATGCATTCGCAGCTGCGCTCGTAAACAAAGTTTCTTATGAAACGGTTTTCGACCTGCTTCAGTATCTGATAGCTGAAAAGGTGAAACGAATCAAAAGCAGCAACCATAACAAATTAACAAGTTTTTTCTTTTCTATTTAGGATTATTTGCCTTGGGCAGAAGCATTAAATGGATTTTTCACTGTGTTAGACTTTTTCGGCAATGAACCAGAGATAATATATGCTCGGGTATGTAACAGTTGATCCACAAATTAATTAGATTGGAAGACATGCTAACTTGCAGCAGTTCATGCTCAAACTATTGGAGCCAATTTATAGGAACAGCAGCTTCGAACACGTTGCAGCTGAATACAAGAATGACAAATTGTTTTTTGAAAAGTTCGTTTCCTTCTTTATAAATTTTTCCTCTCAAAAAAATTAACATAAACTATATTTTAAAAAGGTTTACACTTTTTATAAATTTATAACTCCAAACTTTCAAGAGGTCATTTAGATGCTGAATGGTTGATAATTCAGCATTGCTTTACATTTATTGTTAGAGT